ATTTCTTTGAATCAACCAAATATTTCGTTGAATCAACTAAATATTCGATTCAATCAATATCTTGTTATTTTGAATCAAACAAAATGTTTGTTTGAGCCAATTCAATATCTCTTCATAAACAATTCATGGATGTGCTTGATTGAAGAAGATCCAGAGTTCATACAAGACATATTTACTTGATTCAAACTTCAAATTCGCTCTGAAACAAGATATAGATTTACTCATTCCAAGATTATATTTTGTCGTGCATATATGACACTTTTATTTGCTCCATTCAATCAAATTTTGCTTGATTCAACAATTCCTTTTTTTCCGTGTACCTAGTATGTTTGTTTGTAAAATTGAATTTTATGATTCTCCTCTCAAGAAGTCCAGCTGGAATGGAAAACGAATTCCAAACTATACTTAGTAGCATACCTAGTGATAATATAAAAAGTTTTTGTTATAACTTTCATAAATATTGTCAACTATTGTGCAGTTGAATTTTCTTGTTTGATTCACAGAGACACAAGTAATCTAAAACTGTAACCTGGCCTCAACCTAGATAGAACGAAGAAGGTGAATATTATCATCTATTTGCCAATATTTATTTCATGTGGTCAATGCATTATGAAGAATCAATCAATAGTCATCCGTTTGACTGTTAAACAGGTAAAATGAATTCCACCTAGACATAATGATGATGGTGTGCAAATGTAGGCAAATCATAGGTTGAAATATTTACCTTGGTACTGATGATCAGTGTTGTCAACTAAAATTTACGAAAGTCGAAAAATGAACACCTGAAATACACTAAAAAACCATTCAACTGGAAGTCAAAGAAAATGGGCCGCATGCAAATTTTTGTGTGAATCTTGTGACTTTCTGGTGGTTTCAACTGCGCTTCAGATCACTTCTATCACTAGATAATACGAGATGATGGAAGTCTACCTGGTTAAGGGATCTTGGTTTAACGATATGAAAGAAATCGAGGTGTGGTGAAAAATCAGAAAACAGAAAACAAAACGAACAAAAATATGTCTTATAACATCAATAACATATTCAAGTTTATCTACATATGAAACAAGAAATAACAAAAAATATTAGAGATGGTTCAAAAACAGCCAAAAAGTGGACCGTACCTATATCGTATAGAAACTGGTGATTCCTAGTTAAAACTTGTTTTTCTTCAAGAACTTTTCACTAGTTTCACATTGTTTGAATCAGAATTTTTTATGAAACATGAGGAATTTCGGATGCAGGTCCTAAACCACCACACTGAGAGAACAGTTCATCAACAATAAAGAAATTGTATTTACTGTTAACGAATGACGTTGTTGAATATAGACTAACTAACATAATTTCATCACAAACTAATGGTATCTTAAAAAATTACAAACGAATATACAGGTTAATATCAAGTTATAATAATCTTGATCTCATGAAACATATATTAAATATTAACAAATATCACTTTGTGGACACTATACCCCATTTTGCATTAAAATAGATCTGTTTATAATAATGTAACGTTACTTTAAATCCAATTAACGTTTTCTCAATGCAATCGACTATCACTTATATGTTAAGTTATCTATATTAAAACTTAATACACTGCGTTTTGATTTTAGCTTTTCCAGTGTTGTACAGAAAGGAGGCATTGTTTTAATAAAGAAGCATTACTTATAGCAAAAGGAATCATTTTGCTATTGATAAGTTATGCTTCGTCAATATATAATATATTGTTTGGTTATTGATAGTTAATATTTTGAGTCGATGATCGATGGTTCCAATTGTTTTTTCCTAACAGAAAGAAAAAAGAGTCTCTGAGAACAAATTTATTTAAGCAAAAGTTTACAGTATAGTTACATCACATATATTTTGATATCAAAACATCTGAATAAAAAGAGCTAAAATCAGACCAGAGATCCAGGTGTATCGAGCATCCACTATATTGATATGTATGATCTGTAACATAAAAATAAACGAGTTCTTGATAGAGATAATATATCTTGTCCCATTCAATAATCGGTACGGTTATTTTCATCTCTTGGAGCGCACGAAATGATGTTGAAATTGCATTTAATCATTCAAAATGATTGTGAAGTATAAGAAAATATAAAACTATCAGGTTTTCCAAGGTCAACGATGTTCATTAGGTCGAAAAGTCATGATTTTTCATCTGATGCATCAATTTCGAAGCACTTGGAAGGATTGAAATGGATGAGATACAAAAATTTTGGCATGTTTATGGATATCTCAACAGTTGTCGAATACTGATTGACAATAACACAGGCATGTTAACTATTAACAAATATTGGTTACTATCTAATTAATTTCATATTCAAGCCTTGTTTCTTCAATCAAGGATTTCGTGGGTTCGCATCCATTCTTATAAATCTATTCACTTATATGAATTTGCACTTGTAATCTCCTCACAATTGATCTGTACAATCATCATCCTATGTACAGGAAGATCAACCATTTTACCTTGCGGAATCTTCCAACAAAATTTCCTAGACCCCACCCTCTCAGTGTTTCCTCCATCTTGGAAGTCTATAGAACAAGCTTTAGAGAAAATGTATCAGCATGCCTAAAAGTTATCAAATTGGTAAGAATTAGAGTCAGACGATGAGAAATATATAGGAATTCAATTAATAATAACACTTGATGGAGAAGTAAATGCTAGTATGATTTATTCACCATGCAGACTCGCTATTGTGTCTTTGAAATTGAAAACAATATGATAAAAACTCACCAGCCACTTCGTGTAATACGTATGCTCCAGCACAAACTGATGAAACTCAAATTCACATTCAACAGTGCACACCACAATTTTCTGTGTTAGCAATTGATATTCGATTATTAGGCAACTCCAAGCGTCCTTTGCATCAGTCTAACATGTTGACTCCGACTACCTACTGTATTCCAACCTCGAGCATGCGCCGAAGAGAATATCACTACGTCATGGAAAGGTCAATAATTGTATAACGAATAATTTGTTTCTCTCAAGAACAATTTCTTATTATCTAAGCAATTAAAGTGTTGAGAGAATTTGTTACCAGTTAATGAATGGTAATTCGAGAGTAAGATTCCATAAAGTTTGGATTTAACGAACAGGTTTGTGACAAACTCATGGAAGTCACTCCTAAAAACATATGTTAATGTTGAAAGAATCAGCCTCTAACGAATCCTTTGTTTTCGGTCAACGATTCATTTACAAATTACATGGTAGTATTTAATAAGGTATATTGATGACAAGAAGATGGCGTTAATATTCAACGAAGCATACAAATCAATTTATTTATCATAACAAAACCTTTCCCTCAGTGCAGATATCACTAATTATATTTCGTTTCCTTATAGCTTATTTCATTGAGTAGAACGTCGAAACTTCTGATGAAGACCTTCAGGGGGATGTCTGAGAATGTGATAATTTTCGAAAAGGTCAAAATCGCCCTGTGTAACATATCCTTTTTTTTTCTATCAGATCCTGAACCACCAGATATCACTAATCATATTTTGAAAAATCAACAAAATAAATACCATCTACTAGATATAGATACAGCTATATTTTGTCACAAAACGGAAACTCAAACTGACAGTTCCAGTGTGGAATCCACTAAGTTGGCAACACAGCTGATGATTCACATCAGCAGAGGGTTTCGAAATCAAATTTATCTCAACCGAATGTCCCAATGAAACCTGGTTGTTGTTCTGGTCATTTGGTGGAATTTCATCAACAAATACATTAGTTTTGTTCTGTATATAAACAACTGAATATCGTCCTTCTGTGCTGCTGTGCTACTGATTTCGTTATTTTGTTACACAATCACCAAATTTCTTGAAAATCTAATGAGAAGTGAGGTAGGGAAAGCTCACAGCCCAATAAACACATATACATGGAGAAAGCACAGAATTTTTGACATTATATGTTCGTCATCGTGGTTGTTGAACAACAACTTTGAATTTTACCTACTGAAATTCTCACTGTTGATACTTTCACAATACGAGCACTCAATTCATTTTAATTGCTATTCGAGTCAGTTCAGTTTTAGGAGGTTGTGAATTTGAAATGCCACCAAATTCTTCAATTGATCTAGATTGTGTTAATGGTGATGAAAATATTCTGATGACGCCTGAGATATCTCAATTTCATCACGTTGATAGAACGTGTGATTAAATAAAGTTCCCCAATTTGATAGGAATCATTTGTGATTATGCCTTGGGATGCCTCAAAGTTATCACATTGATAAAACGTGTGATGAGATGTAGTACCTCAATAATTGATCTCCTTTGTGATCACACCTGGCATGCCTCAATTTTATTACGTTGATAGAACGTGTGATGAAACAAATTTCCTCAATTGATCTCTTTCGTGATGATGCCTTGGATGCCTCAATTTCATCACGTTGATAGAACGTGTGATGGAACAAAGTTATTGAATTGATCTTCTTCGTGATGACACCTGGGATGCCTCAATTTCATTACATTGATAGAACATATGTTGAAACACTGATTTGTAGAAGTAAAATCGTATATTTGAGATGCAAGTTGCATATGTTTCACAACGGTGTGATGAACCATAGTTCTTGGACTGATCTCTCTTGTAATAGAGCTGAGACATCTGTGGTTAACTGGGTCCTTTCTGTGTCACCCTTGAAATGTTTGGATTCGGAATTATTTGCCAATGGAAGTATTCCCAAGAAACTATATAGCCTCCAAAAATACAAATAAATGCCAAAACCTACCATACGCACGGTGTTCTTCGAACATTATAGGAATTCCATTTCGTGTGCTCCGAGAAATAATAAAAAAAGTCCCACTCAAATGGCCAACCATGTTGATAATGTCAGATAATGATCGACAATCTTCTCAATATAATTATTCTAATTAATAAATAGCAGTGATACGCCAATGACTAATGTCCCGCTTATTATCAAGCAAGACCTATTATTGATGATATAATAGCCATATTCTCGATGAAGTCAGAGTCTGTAATTATATATTTACTTTTCTTTCCTCATAAACACATCTGATGATACTGAACTAACAGGATTTTTGTCCAATGTGTGGTGTCGAGTCGAGTAAGAGAAATAGCACAGTTTTCTCCGGACAATGTGCATTAATATAATATCGTGATTTCACTACAGCTACAAACATTTACTACTCACACAACGATAAAAGTAACAGATATGATAGAATCCAATGTTTCGTGTGCGTTGAATTTATTTTCGTGTCCTGGTACCGTTTCCAATTTGTGTGTTTCAAGAAAATATGATGGTGATGTTGATCAAGCAACAAGTTCCGGTCTTCTTAGTTGTCATAGAAATGGTGAGTATCTACCTATCTTCTGTCTTGGAAATGAGTTGTAACACCGACCTCTATCAACAATGGTGCTATTGACTCACCTTCATTTATATATAGTGTGACCAAGATAAGGTTGCTTAGAGAGAAAAAGAGAACATATGTTTATAATCGAAAATACATGATCTTATATCGACAAACACTTTGTGCAATATTGAAATGTGACAGTGAACAAGTATTATAATCACAGTTTTGTATAGTCATATAAAACGATCGAATATGGGTAATATACGATCGAATATGGGTAATATACAATACAAAAATACATCACTATAACACTTTATGATCACAATAGTTGTGATTCGTCATTGAAACACTCTGTGACATCATAATATGCCTTACGCTGATCTCTCTTGTAGAGTTGTCCTGACAAATTTGAGGGTCTTTATTGCTTTTATATCCATGAGGGCTGAATTTCTTGTATTATGTGCTGTGCGATTATATAATATGGTTAATGTACAACGATCTATTCTTGTTTATCGAACATGTGGTTTCCTGCACCTGGGCCGATACTCTGAAAGGAGTATTTGAATACTTTCGGATATTGAAAATACTTGAATATTAAATATTTTCGAAAGCGAAAATGTATTCAAAAAACAAATACAAAAGTACCCAAATAGATGACAGTAAGTATTCGAATACTTTCAAAGTATCCGAGTATTCCAAGAGTATTTCAATACGCTGGACGTATTTGAATATTTCCGGAATATTCGAGTATTTCCGAAGTATTCGAATACTTTCAATATTAAATACATCCAAAGTATTGAAATGTTCTCAAGGATTCGAATACATTCATTTTACTCGAGAATTTTTGACGCTTTCGATCACCTTGTGAAATATGTAGACTTGAGTAATTCCAAATCCAGCCAGGCAAATCAGAAACGAACGGATGAGAAATGTTGACGAAATAAATATGGACTTGGTAACAATTCAATTCAATTCAACAAAGCATGATGCCTTTTCTCTAGATGAGCAGATCTCACTGTGCCCAACATAATCTTGTCAGGAGTAACCATACCTTTGGAGACATCCAATTCGATGCTTGGGATCATTATCAGCAATAACCTTTCTTGGGAAAATCACGTGAGATCAATTGCTGAAAGTGCATCCCAAAAACTTGGTTCTCTGTTTCGGGCCAGAAGCATTTCAACTTTCAGTCAGCTGTTCGAAAGGCACAGATCCGACCTGTCCTGGAATACTGTTTCCATATTTGGAGTGCAGCTCCAGAACATACCCTGAAACTGTTGGATTCTGTCCAAAAAAGAGCAAATCGTCTCGTGGGTGATGCCTCGTTCACAAACTCACTCACTTCTATAATCTCCATTTGAGAAGAACACCGATTCCTACCATATTTGCTGGGGATTCAATGGCCCATTGATTCGATCAATGACATACTGCTGGCACTATTTTTTGGTAATGAAATAATATCAGTCCATCGCTGATTTTTTCATTCGATACGTGAGTGGTAATCACAATGTGCTGATACAATAGTGTATTGCCTATGCATTGGGCAATCGATGGGTATAATCCATTTCACGAATATCACTGAAACAGTACTGGTTGAACGATGAATGAAGGATGAAGGTTCCTCAATGTCATCAAATCATCAATGAATTTACAATGGAATCAGCCTATCAGACGCATTTTATTGACAGCATTTTTTCGACAATCGCAATTGATGTGTTCTCAATATGTCTTCTATTTTGTTTTTCTTATCCTGTTGCGCTCGAGTCGTCAGTCGTTATTGTAAGATGTGAAGTGATCAAAATGAATAGGGAGTTGCATGATATTCAATCTGATCAAATCGAAATAACGAATGCAGGTCTTCATAAACTGATATGCTTCTTCGTGGAATTTCATCGTGATATGTTGAGGTACCTCTATCATGAAGTTTCAGTCCTAGAAGAAATAAACATATACCTTTGTTTCCACCTGAATATTGTTGCAGCAAACTAGGTTATAGGCAGTTATGGTTCATATCTCACTCGAAATTGACAAATATAGTTCATTCCAGATACCACAGAAGAATAGTTCTCAAGTTCTGGCCATGTTCCAGTTATCACAGAAATCACAATATCAATCAACAGAAACAAAATTCGTGAATTCCTGACTGAACAGATCAGATGTGGATATATAAGTGGATTCTAGGAGTTTTATTGTAGTAATTATTATTATTATTATGAGCCATGGTTCATAGGGTTCCATAAGTATGAGATTCAGATTCGGCTGGGGTGTAGGATTGAAGAATTGAAGAATTTTGTTATATTTTATATCACCCTGTTTCCATCACCCTATTATTATTCAATAGGGATGATCATAACGAATTCACGAAACCGAGTTTGATAAGGTTCATTTCAAACGATCAGGAACATATTCGCATTGAAATTTTCCATATGCTCAATGAGTGTGACAGTGAAATCTATTTGTATATTGCGCTGTCATACCCACGCAAATAACTCCGAAAGAGATAGGAGAGTATTAGACGTCTCGCTATTAGCATTATTATTAGGTGGATAAGAATTCGATAACACTTTCATTCCGTGATAGAAACGTCATGACATGGAATGGAATTGCCCCTCACCCCCGAAAAAGTTTGTTGGATCAGCTGCTGTAGCTATCTGAGAAAGAATATCAAGGGAAATGTGACGGCATACGACCGCAGGTACGCCACTGGTTATCAAAATTGAAACAACAGAACTCGAAGTGATTACCTTTATTATTCAGGAATATTATGTATCCGTTGCACAAAGACAAGTTTCCTAAATTTGTTTTGGTTACCTATACAAATATTCTTCCAGATGAATTTTCTTGATGCCAGACCACAGTTAATCAGTTCGACAACAGAAAAAACTGCCGCGGATCAACCCAGCAAATTTGGAACACAAAACCCAGGATCTGCTCATCGAAATGTATCCTATAGAACCAAAGAAAGGATACTGACTCATAGAAGAAAAGGTAAATAAAACGGTAAATGAAACAATTGTTAGTATACACGGTGTTCGCAAAGGCCCAAACGCCTTCTTTCTCTTTGGCGTTCCTTCTTCCACTTCTTCCATGAACCGATTGGTGTAATGTCGACACAAAAATACTGACAATTGTCTTGAAGTCTTGACATTATCGATCTATAACTCCCATCTATCGGACTATCTCAGTAGGCCATGGCAGTTTCGGTACGGAACATAGGAGAATTCATTTCATTTGTGGTTTTTTTGTATGTTCAGCTTCAACATTGCACGTGGAGATTGATCATTTTGTTAGTGTTTTTTATTCATCGTTTGGGACGTATACGAAAAGATAATCCTATAATGTTCGTGGAATATCGCGTACCTAGGGATAGGGAGAGGAGGTAAGTTTTTTGAACCTTTGAAGGTTATGAGTTCTTGATAATACTTCCATCGACAAAAAATCACAAAGCTTGATTAGTGTGGATAATCAAGGCTGATATCTAGTTGCATAGGACTGACTTTATTAAACTTTGGTAGAAGTCCATATATCGCTGAGTATTTTCGAAATTTATGTACCATTTCGGAATATGATGATTGCATTATAATTGTACGTGCTCTCAGATCATGGTGCCCAACATTCGATGAGGACCTCATATTAACTTCCCACTGAACAAGGAACATCCCAGATTGGTTTGTCAACGTTTCTTCATGGTTCTAATAATACCAGCTCTCAGGAGTGATGATAACATATTTCTGAGACGTTTCAATTTGTTCCTCATCTGGGCTGACTCAGCTACATCAACGCGCTGTTTCGTTACAGCAAACTGACCTATGCACGTCTATGCAAAATATTTCAACGTCTTCTCCAGTGTATTCTCATTTGATTCCCAGAACGTTTTATGTGACGTACTTTTTATAATTTTTCGTGTCTCACAAAGTGTGATTGTGAGTTAGTCAAGACGATCAAGTGTGAGTGCGATTTCTGAGAAGGATGGTGAGTCACCAATATCACAACTTCTATTGTTTATTCAGTATCAGACTTTTTACTGCCCCAATATATTGTAACAGAATTCAGGAATTCAGGAACATGCTTTATTAATGTGATTTGGGAAAACAGAGCCTCGTTGTCAGGTAAAACGTATAAATAGAGATATCAATAACGAAATTTGTGATATCAACGATTCGAAGATTTGTGTGCGAGATTTTGAATCCCTGCTGGAATCTCCCAATTCAGTATTACTGATGGGTGATAAAGTGTCCCTGATTTAGGTATGTGGGATTTGCCCATTTTCTGTATGAAGGTATTATGTTTATGTAAATTTTAGAACTCGAACTCATCTTGGAAATAAACTGTTTGGACCTTGTTATTCGCATCTGATTGCTCAGAACCTTCACAATATTTTGTTAGTCAGATTTTATCGTTATGTTCCTCAGTGAATATACCTCTGAGAGTGCCATTCCTAATTCCTCTCCTGAGTGATATTCTTTGGATTTTGAGGTAAGATCATACAATGAGAAAAATGGATCACACAAGCTTACATGTTTCTTATCGGTGACCGAGATAGCCCATATAGTGTGATTCATGAACATTCACGAGAGCTTTCATCGGAAGATATCAATGTCTTCACGTACTGCATTGTTCACATCAGGTCAACTCTGAATCTGAAACAAAATTTGGGCTCTGAACAGTTCTACCCACCAGACCTATTCTATATTAGAAATGATGGAATGTGAATCTACTCTGTTTCCCTAGGAAGACTACATATGAAATTATGAAATAAGTAGAATAGTAAATCGCGGAGGAAGGTGAATGATAACAGTTTTTCATCATAACAAAGCCACCCTCTGTTCCACGACCGTGTGAATATTGAGAATAAAAACGACATCATCAGGAAAAGAACTGATAGAGGTACCTATGATATGGATATTTGATATGGTGAAGTTGTATGCTTTTATTATTATTTTAAAATGTAAGTGGCCATATAACGACTTCAAAACGGTCTTTAAAGAGAGAATGAGACAACACCAAATGATTTTATTTTCTCTATACCAATATTTCTTGTTTTGTAAAACTTTTAATCAAGCTGAAATGGTCTCTTCTGAGACTAAAACATGTCCCTGATTGTTAAGCAACATCATTGAGTTGTGTGGAGATAATTTTGAACTTTCTCTTTCTCTTTCTCAGATTTATTTGACTTTGATGAAAGTGAAAAAATTCAGAGGGTATCGAACCTCCTTTGTAACGTCTGCAATCGTGAAATAGTTATTTGTTTCACTAGGCAGGAAAGTGGTAGATTGACTGCCGCGGCTGATAGTTCATAGCCAAGCGATATGACTACTAGCAGCCAAGAAAGGGTAATAAGTCGGTGGAGCACACCAGAGAAATCAAAAACATCTCACTCAATACCTTGGCAGCGGAATAACGGCTGACAGCTATTAGACACGATTTTTTTCGATAATTGGATTTCTGAATGGTTGCAATGATCGAAATAAAATATGGAAAGCAGCAGCGGAAGTGAGGTTGAAAATGTGCCCCAATGAGAATTCAAATGTTCCTGATTTTATTCCACGATAGTATATTACGTATTATGTAAGAAGCATATTACGCACGAATTACGTACTATATATTACCTCTTGCCTTATAGTGCATCGAAATAGTATATTATGTAACAAGTGTTATAATAAACGTCCTTTTAGAAACGAGTAGTTTAATCACGGGCGGAGCAGAGCGGAGCGTGTGTTTAATAAACGAGTGTCTAGAAGAGTTTATAAACGCTTTACATACTATGATTTTTCTACGAACTCCGAAAATTACATTTACATACCACATACCTGCAATTCCGGCTAACCTACAAAATAATTCGAAAGAAATGGGAATTGAGAACATAATTCAGGCAACTGCATGCAACCAGCGATACACGTATAAGTGATATTGGTTGTAGATGTGTCTAGTCCATTGCTTACTATCCTTTGTTTCACGTTCATTGTCATGCTCAGCGCAGAATAAATAAATTGTTCTCAAAGATGGATGCTTCATTTTTACACTTCTTAGAGATACGCAAGTACCAGAACATTCTCTTCGATTTAACTTTCGTCTACTTTTCGCATATATTTTCAATGATGAATTCTGATACAAACAAATATTGTTTGGATTAGTCTGATTCAAAATTTGAAAATAACAGTTGACAGTTGATACAATTGATAGGCCAGACATGTCTCAAACTACCTACTGAAGCTGTGTTTAATGAACTGCGTTTGTGTGGTAATGTGTTCAAGAAATCGTGTTGCCATCCCAGCAAACATCGTAAGGCGGTAGATAGTCAGGCCCATGGCGAGAACGGCGGGCAAATGTCGATGTCGGCATGCTTCGAAAGGCCCTCCAAATAATTTCGAAGGATTATGTGACGAAGGCAGAATGTACACATACTTATTATAGGACTCTGTTTCCCAGTCGCTAGTTTTCCGCTGTATGTATCCAAGTCAAAGGGCCATCAAAATTTCAAAGGAGTGTGCCATTATCACTCACTCAACGTTGGCATCCCTCGCTCGCGTGAGTTTTTATTTTGATCATTTTGCGGTGGTAACAATGATTCAGTATGGCGTATATTGATTTCTTTGTTCATGTTGTCTCAACACTCTCAAAAGAGATTTTAGTACTGTGTTCAGTTATGGTTCAGTTCGTGTTTGATTTTCTTTTGGATTTTTATACAAAATAGAAAGGAATTGAAATAAATACAGAGTGAGTGAGGAACAAACATATATACAAACTTGCACAGCTAAAAAATTCTATTTTAGATAATAATTTAACAAACACCATTGGACAAACAGATGCAATAATAGTTTGGACGTGTTCAGCGGATACACAAGAATATAATAATTGAGGACTATGAAAATGCATGAGCTTTCATTTCATATGAATCGAAACGAAAATCAAAGATAGCTACTTGAAGAAACAGTTATATTTCAATACTGTAGGTATGTATTATAAGGTTATTGCATGTTTTGGATTAGTAGAGAATGAAATCATTCAATCTTTCAGCTACAAAATCATTAACCAGAAGCCCATCAATCACAGATATTAATGAAGAAATCACACAATGATCAAGACTATATGATATGAATTTCTTCATGGTATATGATATCTCACTTCCAGGCAACACTCATTTCAATATGATGAAGAGTAGGGTTCTCCATATCTGGAAATTGTTATCTTGTAGATTGAACTTCATTGTTGACAATAACTTGATCAATATAATAACTGATTACCTACATACCTTTCAAGTTATTCGGTAGGTACATAGGTGATGTAATTTTTGACCTAGAGTTAGCAACTTTTTGAAACAATGAGTAAACAGAGTGATACGAAGAACTAGAATTGAGATGTTTGATGTTTCCATAGTTGTGATATGTATTGGTTGTGATCATGGCAATAATATACACACATGGATATTTTCAGTTCTTGTTTTTGTATAGGGTATTTATACTGCTAGTTTCCTGATGGAAATAACTGTGATATCAGAATGCCATCTCAGAGATTTTTATGTAATTATTCAACAACTTCAGGTAAGGAGTGAATTCCACATTTCTGTTTTACCCAGAGGATTCACAAAAAAACTCGGAGACCTCAATTCTGTTTTTTGAAGTTCCACATTTTTTAACCAGTTTGAAAATAAAGAGAGTGATGCAAATCTGAGTGAAAATGAGATACGTTGCTTTCCAAGTGGTGATATAAACTGGAATACCTATCAAAAAACCTATTTTCACTGAGATATATGCATTACCCTGTATATTTTTTGACGAACCTAGTTGAAAAATGGAACATCAAAAAACAGAATACCATGAATATTGAATTCATTCAACCTCGTTAACCAACGGCCCTGAAAAACTTCTTTATTGGGGAAATAAAAATACTCAAGCGGCCAATCAATGGCAGTCTCTGAAAAGTCTCAATCGGGCCGAAGATGTGCCATGAATGCAGGACATTTGAGTACTTGCTTCTGCCCACCAGAAGCCCTGCAACGTAATAAGCGGCATACTGATGGCTCTAGTGAGGCGGTCGGCTGTCGGCCGCCGGGACACGGGCTAGCCGGCCCAATTTAGTTGTACAATAGAGGACCGCTGTTACCGCTCGCCGGCAAGTTTCATTGTACCTTTAGAGGGCCGCAAAAATCATGTTTGCTGGGATGGTAACGTGTTTGATATTCTGAATAAATCACAGATCGACAATCCGAGATTAATCGATCATTCAGCGTGTTAAATATCCGTACGCTAAATGTCATTTTAGTTATGTGAACAGAAAACAGTTTGAACAAACAGTCCGAATTATAATTCTTGACAGTGATTTCATCCGCTGTTCACGGCGATTATGCGACCATGACATACCTATACTGGCGGAATAAACGGAAACTGTGCGATGTGCTTACTGTACGTAAAGAGCTACTTACTGAGGCTGTACCTCGTGTGTTCTTACCTACTTCATATGGTGGCCATAAGTAAAGAAATATGGTATGGAAATATGTCTCATCGATTTGTTATTCTACATATTTGTCGAAAAAATCGTGTACGCAGCACGTCCAAAAACAGATTTTTTTGGATCTTCAGGACTCGCATTTGGCACGTCCTAGAATGTTGTGTATCAACCAAAAAAATAGGACATTGTTCAACGAGCATAAAATGATAGAGATTTCTCACGAGAATGATATTTGCAGCATAAGCCGTAGGCGAATGCTGAAATCATTCGAGTGGGCAAGTAATATTCCGTATGAATTATGCACTATAATTGCTTTTCGGCCATTACAGATAACAGCGGCATTCTTGATTCCTTTGTCTTGTAGCCATCTGATTCCGTCTAAAGTAATGCTCATCTATTTGAAAGAGCTGTCATTGCTTTAAATCTGAAATTCCATGGAAGATGAGTTTATTTCTAAAATGATGACACAATGGAGTCATGGTGATATCAGATTCGGAAACAAAATGATGACATTCGAAGTACCTCATTGATTCATGATTCCAGATTTTCTAGAATTTTATCTTTTCGTTTCTATAAAATAAAAATATAAATATTTTTTGAATTTCACTGAATGTTTCCTTTCCAGACGGTTCCTTTGCTGGACTCTCCGAACAAGACATCATCTTCCCAGACTCCTTCGAGCTGATCTTCGAACCTTTACCAAAGATAGACGGCGCCCCTAAGTGCGCAGACGACAGCACATTCTGTGAAAACATCAACTCGTATCCCTACCACCACCTCAAGGACGTGCTGCAGAAGAACACCCTGTACAAGGAGTTGTTCGGCACTGACGAAGCGCCGGTTGAAATATCCAACAGGGTTGGAGGGGAAGATGACAGGTATGTATGTACGGAAGCGTAGAATGGCCAGTGTTGTGTGTATTTTGAAAATCTTTGATTCCGACTATTTATTCTGAAGTCAGAGTTGTCTCCCTGAATTCTGACTCAATTCGATAACTACAGATTCCAACTAGAATTCATACTTCCATCTTTGAATTCTGACTCTTATCGAATTCGTTATTTTTTATCTGAAGTCGAACGTTTTTTTCTGGATTCAGACTTTTTTCTAACGAAACATTTCATCTCTGGATTTGAGGATTTTTTCAGAATCCAGAATTTTTCCTCCGAATTCAAACTTTATTCTTGTAATTCAGACTCTTGTGTCGGAATTGAGACTTCTTCCTCAGAATTCTGACTTCTGTCACAGAATTCTGACTTGTTTTTCCAAAATCAGACTTTCTTTAGAATTCATGCTTTCTTCTTTGAATTCTGACTTTTTTCCAAATTCGTGATTTTGAATCTGAAGTTGACTCTTTTCCTCTGGATTCTGACCGTTTTCTGATAAAACTTTCCACATATTTCTGGATCTGAACATATTTTCAGATTTCTAACTTTTTTCACTGAACTCAGACTGTTTTCTTCGAATTCAAATTCTTTTTTCCTGTGAATTCAAACTATTTTTTTATCTGAATTCAAACTATTCTTTATGAATTTAGACTTGTCTCTAAATTCAGACTTCTCACTCTGAATCATAACGTTTATGAATTCAGAGTTTTCTCTGTGAATTCAGCTCTTTTCCAGACTTTGTCTAATAATTCCTCTGAATTCAAACTAATTTTTCAGAATTCCCACTTTCCTCCTCGGATTCTGTCTTCTCCTGATTTTTTTTATTTGGAGTTGAATATTTTTCTCCGTATTTATAAATTCTTCAGAATTCGGACATTTCTAGAAATTCAGACGTTCTTCTCTGAATTCTGAATTTTGTCTTTGAACTCAGTAATTTTCCTTCCTTTCTAGAGTCACCTCTTTTTCAGACTTTGTCTAATTATTTCAATGAATTCAGACTTGTTTTCCAGAATTCAGATTTGTTTTTCTGAATTCAGACTTTCGTATAGGAATTCAGACTTTTTCATTTGAATACAGATTCTTCCTATGAACTCAGACTTATTTCTCTGAATCATGACTCATTTTCCTTGTAACAAACATTCCTCAGAATTCATATCATCTTCTTAGTCTTCTGACTTTTTCCGAATTCTTGATTTTCCATCTGAAGTTGAACTTTTTTTTCTGGATTAGGACTTTTTTTCTAATGAAACTTATCATATCTAGATTCGAAATTTTTTCCAGATTCTTTTTCTGAATCCAGACTATGTTTTTTGAATTCAGACTCTTGTCAACAAATTCAGACTTCTTCTTCTGGAATATAACTTTCCTATCTAAATTCAGATTTTCCTCTCTGAATTCAGTCATTTTCCAGACTTTTTCTAATTATTCCTCTGAATTCAAACTTTTCCTTTCATTCAGATTTTGTTTCGAATTCGGACTCTGGTAATGGCATTTAGACTTCTTTCTTTGAATTCTGACTCTTCTCTCTGAATTCAGACTATATTTTCATTCGTACATTCCTGTTTGAAATCAGACTTCATTCTGAAATCAGACTTTTCTTGAATTCAGACTTTTTTCTGTCAATTCAGACTCTCCACTATGAATTCAAACTGTTTCCTTCGACTTTTTTATGAGAAAAAATCTGAATACTAAGAGATATGTTCGAATCCAAAGGGAGAATTCTGAATTCGAAAAATAGTCTGATTTCAGGAGCAAGTGTGAATTTGAAGAAAAATGACTGAATTCAGGAGAACAACTCTGAATTCAGAAAAAAAAAAGTCTGGAGTCAGATAAGAAAATCCTAATTCAGAGAAGAATTGTTAATCAAGGGAGAAAAGTCTGACTTCAAAGGAGAGGAAGTTTGAAAGACAGATTGAATTAAGAAAACAAATTTCGAATTCAGAAAACAGTGTTGAAAAGGAATATTCTCAGAAAAATTATGGACACACAAAAATGGATATATATTAATATGAAGCAATACATCAAGAATTCGCATTCTCTATGTGATGAGAATATCTACTCTTTTTCAGTTTATTCAATAGAAAACAACTTATTTCCTGGCTACATGCCACGACGAACATTGAATTATATCTATTGAACACACACGATAAGAGTTTGAAAATAAAATATAAAAAAAAAATTAAAATTGAGAATTTGCATTTTCCTTCAGAAAAAATATGTATATGCACACATCATTCTGAATATTCAACGAAAAACAACTACTTTTCTGGAAAGCAAATTGCAAATTCTCAATTTCAGAAATTTTTTATATTTTATTTTCAAACTCTTATCGTGTATGTTCAATAGATATAATTCAATGTTCGTCGTGGCATATAGCCAGGAAAGTAGTTGTTTTCTATTGAATAAACTGAAAAAGAGTAAATATTCTCATCACATAGAGAATGCGAATTCACAATGTATTGCTTCATATTACCATATTATAACCATTTTTGTGTGTCCATAATTTATCTGAGAATATTCCTTTTCAACACTTTCATACCCAATCAGGGGGTTCAAACTTGAACGATGGAAACTTGCGATTTTTATAGATCTCTAATCGCAGATTCGTGATAGAGTCTCAATTCAGAATTTCTTTCCACGCTCTGTATGATGAATATCAATTTATCATGCACCCAAAAATCAGAAAACAAAATTAGAATTCAAGTAATGAGGTCTGAATTCAGAAAAATTTGCCTGAATTCAGAGAAAAAATTTTCAAATTCAGAAAAGGATGTATGAAGTCAGGAATAAAATTGAATACATCCAACAGTGGCCTCCCAACGCTTTCGTAGGTATGTGTGTGGTGCTTTCGAGAGGACCATATTTCCTCAGGTGGGGATGAATAAGGATAACAAATGGAAATTCATCATCAACCAAGGAGAGAAGGACGGTTTCGTACAAGGAATTCGCATAGAGACCTGTAGAAAGTGAGTATTACAGGTAGATTTATAGTCTATAATGCAGGGTGATTCACGGTAAATGGTCAATTGGAATTTCGACTTTCTTTCAATGAAAATCAGGACCTCTGAAAATTCTGATATTTGAGTTCAGAAAAACCATGGTATCAAAATTTAGTTTGAAGTGAGATGATACTCGGATGCTTTTGACACTCCAGCATAAACCTATTCACTTCCTCACAGGGTTTTTGAAATATACAGAGTTATTTAGTTTGCTCAGATCACTAAAACATATTTCAATATTTTGAATTCAAAATCCTGTTAACAGGGTACTGTCGATTTCTTGGAGAAAGTTTCGCTATTCTCTAAACCTCAACGGTGATCCTATTACACAACGTGAGTTGAACCTCTTCAATATGTCGTTGTGAACAAGTATTTTTAAGAATTTTTCCACGTGATCAGCAATGTTATTAACATAACATTCCAGGAACGGCTTGAATCTTGCCAAATTACAAAACGGAAAATTGAATGAGTTCAAATTGCGCATTTTCTGAATGATTTGATGAACTTCCTATCTCGTCTCGTTCAGGAAATAGCTATAGCAATACCTTCATTATATAATCGGATGTATAATTGCGATTTCGAAAAGCTGAAACAAGAAACATCTACTCTCCTGACTATTTGCCACGTCGTGCATTGAATTAAATCTGTTGAACATCCCAAAGGGGAGCATGAGAAATGAAAATCCACTGGAATTGAGAATCGACAATTCCTCAAACCTGATAACTATTATTTCGAAGCTAATGGAGAAAGCTATCAACATCGAGCACATGAAATACCTGGAACATTCAGGTATCATCAACTATAGGCAATATGGCTTTCGTCCTCAGAAATCAACTGGTGACATACTCGCTTACGTGTCACATATATGGCAGCAATCTATTGAAGAATATGGTGAAGCTTCAGCTGTGGCACTTGATATCTCCAAGGCATTCGATCGAGTCTGGCACCACGGACTCCTTGCCAAGCTTTCATCTTATGGCTTGCCACCCCAGCAAGCTACTTTTTTCTCAAACAGATCTCTCCATTTAGTGGTAGTAGGAGTTTCATCTGACTTCCTTATCATGAATGCTGGTGTTCCGCAAGGATCAATTCTAGCACCGACACTATTTTCACTCCATATCAACGAATTGTTGAAAGCAACTTTATGTTCAGTACACAGCTTCGCGGATTATAGTACCCTCTATACCGTTTCCTCTTCCAGGGCTCCAATACCAGCCAGTCAAATCAGAAACGAACAACGGAGAAATGTTGACAACATAAATATGGACCTGGCAACAATTCTCGAATAGGGAAACAATAATTTGGTAGATTTCAATGCGAACAAAACACAAATATTACTTTTCTCTAGCAAAGCCGATCTCTCTGTGCCCAACATGAGCTTGTCAGAAGTAACCATACCTTTGAAAACATCCATTTTGATGCTTGGTATTACTGTCAGCAATCACCTTTTGTGAAGAAATCCCGTGAAATCAATTGCTAGAAGTGCATCTCAAAAACTTGGTTTTTTGTTTCGGGCCGAAGCTATTCCACTTCCAGTCAGCTGCTTATGATCTATGAGGCACAGATCGGACCTATCATGAATGCTGGTGTTCCGCAAGGATCAACACTATTTCAACTCCATATCAACGATTTGTTGGGAGCAACTTCATGTTTAGTACACAGCTTCGCGGATGATATGGTACCCTCCATACCACCCTCTCTTCCAGGGCTTCAATACCACTAATACAAGCCAGGCAAATCAGAAACGAACGAGGGAGAAATGTTGACAACATAAATATGGACTTGGCAACAATTCTCGAAGATTCAAGGAGAACACCGATTTCTACCTTATTTTTCTTGGTCTTCACGATGTTTTCTGAACATTACAAAACATTCTTTTCCGTGGGAGCCAGAACAAAAAAAAACACGTCAAAATGTTAGACCCCCGTCATTCCTTGCTCGCACAAGTCTCTTGAAGACTTTCGAGGGTTGCTCGTGAGGGGGCAACCGATTCTAAATTTTCTTCTTGAAATTGCATTAAACTTCCTGATACTTGAGGATCAGGTAATTGGTCATCCAAGTGATGTTCAATTCTGTCTTGCTATTCTCCAGCAAATATTGCATAGCTGGCAAATCAATGGCCCATCGATTTATTCGATGACATTCTGCTGGCACTATTTTTCGGTGATCGAAATGTACATGTCCATTGCTTTCCCAATCATATGATACGTATGTTGCACTCATTATGTGCTGGTACAGTAGTATTTTTCCTATGTATTTATGTGAATCAGGATAACACTACTCCTACGGCATTGGGTATTCAATGTGTATAATCCATTCGGCAAAGAACAGTACTGGTTGAACGATAAATGGAGCATATGGGTTCCTCAATATCATAAATTCTTCAATGAGATGGCAATGGACCATCAGACAATCAGTTGCATTCCATTGACATTATTCAATCAACATTGGAAAATTGATGTGTTCTCCATAGGTTTTCCATTTTGTTTTTTGTATCCTCTTGCGCATGAGCTGTCGTTGGCGTCATTTGTTGTTGTAAGATGTGAAGTGAACAAGTGAATAGATGGAAAGTTGTATGAGGAGCATCATTATACAATCTTCTCAAATCGAAATAACGACCCTAACAATTAACACAGGGATGTCCTAGGTATCTCCCTTTTATGTCTCGCGGTACAAGGACATGATTAGGGCATCCAGGAGATGTCTCGCAGTGGTTGTCTAGTGGATATCCCGCCCGGTACATCCCTAGGTTATCCTTTTCGTGTCCCTGGAATATCTGATATCCATTTGCATCAGAGTCATTGAATTTCATTCAACTATTGAGTTGAATTTTTTTGAAAATGTTTGTTTTTTTCCCGGAAAATAATTGTAATGAAAATAAAGAATAAATCCTCAGAACTTCATAAGAAATGACCATTTTCCACAAACAGAAATCGTGAATGCATAATGCCCCTCATTTTTAAATACCCAAGAATGATTATTATCTTGAGACCCTGTATATTGTTGATCTGAATTTGAAAATTCTAACTTGAAAAACAACTGGATGACGCCATGTCCAATGATTCCGTTGTAAATCGGTATACAGGGTGATTCAATTGATGGCTTCAAATGAAGAATATGGATTCTTAGGTAATTTCAAGAAAAAATTATGATGATGATATTTATTTCCGTATCATAACTTCGATACTGTCCTGGACATTATCATGGAATTTGACAAACACCCACTAAGCACCAATAGGCATTTCTCGATGCAGAAAGTTTTCTTATTATATATACCAGTGGCGTCCGTATGGGTAGCAAACTGTAGATTTGTTCAAACATGGCTCGCCCTTACTTATTCCTATGATAAAAATTATTTTCGAAATTTTCATCCATCTTGCAACAATTTGACGCACCGTTTTCACGCAAAAAAATCAATCTATATTGACTGATTCAATCTAATGGCATCACTTGATTGAAACACTTACAACCTACCACATGGCGTTCAGAAGGAGTATGTCAAATTTCATGAAAATATCTAGAATAGTATCGAAGTTGATTATTAAACGATTTTTGCCTAAAATTCCAACACCATATAGTCTATAGCTCGAAAGATGATAGGTTTTTTGGCATATGTTCACATGAACTTTTTTCTTAAAATAAGCTAAGGAACAATATCCTTTATTTTCAACCCTCAATTGAATTTCACCCTGTATATACTTCACTTCGATCCAGCCTATTTCATTTCTCCTCCTGCGTTCGACATTCTATCCCAAGGATCATTCACGAATCAGCAATAGCCATAATATTCTTCTTCTCCTTTTTCCAGGCCGGATACACCGTGTGATATAATCGGAGATCTCCCTAATGGCTACGTCACTTCCTGCAAGCAGAAATACGTCTACAGGAGATTGTTGGCTTTGAACGACACAGGAGCTCCAGTTCCGGATTCTTTCAAGATTCCCTCCTCCTGTTGCTGCTCCTACAAGAGGGACTTTGATATTCTCGCAAGATTCGGGTCTGCCGTTGAATCGTCGGGAAAGAAAATCAAAATGGAACAGCCGTGAGATCAGAGTGGAATGCATCATTCAGCGTTTATTATGAAGCTATAGATAGATAGGCGCACGCGGAGTATCACTCCTCAAGAATCAAAAACGTTAGTTTTCGCGGATATCCTGATCGAATATAACCGTTGTGCAGTATCGCTTCATTTTCAAATCCATAGTAGAGTGCGGAGTCGTACTCCGCAGCGACCTCAAACGTTGAAGTTATATTGCATTATACACCCAGATAGCACCAGTACATCTAATGGATATACTATGGATATCCATCATGGATATTTTGTGGATGTCCATAAGATATCCGAAAAAGGCTCTGGTATATCCTATGGACATCCATAAGAAGTGACAGTGTGACCTTTTTGGATGTCTTAAAGATATTCATTATGGATATCCATAAGATATCAACTATGGATATGGATAAGAGATAGTATACCCTATATATAGAAAAAATCACAAAAACTGGAAAGCACTCACGTCTCACTGCGTTCGAATAATGTAGTTTTCAGTTCTTATGCATCATCAATTTTGGACGAATTCGTAGGAATCACTGCCAAATTCACTTCAAATTAATCATATATGAGAACAGATTGACATTATTTGACTATTCCAAGGATGGTAGAATCTATAATCTATAAATAATCATCAGTTCTACCAATCTTGGACTATCTGAGCGTTATGCCACCTCGCGCTGTTTTTGAAAACCAAACTAATAATAATAGGGGATAGTGCATCACAATGTGTGCTATCTTTTAGAAGACCCACGCACACTTTTGTGGATCTCCTTTTATTCATTTATCATTTCATTCATTTTATATACTTCATTCGAAATTTCTAGGCATTATTGTTCTTTTGTCTCTGTATCTTATAGATATCCTATGGACGTTTTCAGGACGTTTGTTTCGGATATCTCAAATACATCAGCAATCGGATATATTATGGATATACATTTTATGTCCACGGATATCCCGCCTTGAATAGGATTTGAAATGGATATCCATGAGATATCCTGTGTTAAATGGGCAGTTACCCTTCATTGCTAGTTTGGGCGTTCGAGGCAGAATTATATCTCATTCGATGAATGGTATTTCATGAATGACCGTTTGGTTAACACACATGATCGATGTTACTGTGATATAAAAAACAATATACTCACTCGATTTCATTGTATTATATGTTCAAAAGTTATATGCTCATCATTACACCACGCATCATCCATTCGCAGAGATTGCCAATGAGTCATTGGTGGATTGAAATAGAAACATTATCATTTTGTCCTCAATTTTCAGTGTTTTTGTTCGAATTTGGGATTTTTTATTGAATAAATATATTTTTATTGCAATATTTTGATATTTCATTTCGTGGGAATATTGATGTCCGAAGTCATACTGATGATATCCTTGGTGAATTTCAATTCCTCATGTGCGAACCACCCAAATTCTCCATTGTGGAGTCAGACTCCGCAGCGGCAAACAATGTTCTCTATTAGACGCAACGACTGAGAGATTTGAATGATTTTGATTGATTTTCTGCAAAAACGTCCATCCATTTGTTTCTCAAATGAGATATATTACATCGTACAGCAATATATGTGAAGAACTTGAAACCTCATCGCAGCCAGGCGTAAAGAGGTATATAAATGATGAATTTAAATTCTTTCACATTCATGAGTTCATGGTATTTATTGTTCATTTCCATATGAATGAGAGCAAAATTTTTTCCTGTTCTTGATTTTAGTCCAATCAACTCTTACTCTTCTCCTTCACATAAGCTTGCCTCATTCAAATATTTTTTCATAGAATTTCTCGACTATCCCATTTCGATTCGGCCTCTGCCAGGAAGATTCGAATGAGTTTCGATGAATAATCATTCTCCATTGAAACATGTTTTCCAAATTGTATACCAAATTCAGACTTACATTCTCCGTCACTATAAGTGGAAATAAACACTATGAGTCCACTTTATGACGCTGCTGTTCAGAGATCAATTCATTATTCTGGCAATCATTCTACAGGGTGTCCGGGAACATGTGGGAAATCTCCCGGATATGGAGAAAACACGTGAAAAGAATACTATAAGTTAATATAAACTTCTTTTGTATCGGCCTCCTCTTCGGAGATATGGGCTCCCAAAGAGCTCCCATGGAATTAAGTTTTTGACACATAATTCTTGAACCAACAGGTATATTTCAATTTTTTTTTAATATGATGTATACTAGGTAAGACTCTTCAAATTACTATCCAAGAAAGTGTTGCGAATTACTCACAGCTCCAGGGACGGACTAGCTGTGACACTCATTGGCCCATTTTTTTTACGCCCTGTATGATAAGAACTCTGGACAACGTTTTTTACATACCTCTAACTATTGACTAGAAATTAAGTACTCCTCATTCATGTCGCTAATCATAACCGTTTTCGGAAAAACGTCATTTTATTTATATCATGTATTTAGCGTAATTTTCCACGGTAACCAACATAGTTTCAATAAAAAGTTGAACTTTAACTGCTTAGTTAAAAACTTCGTAACAGGGTTCAACATGGGCTCCATGAAGTCTGATACACCCGCGAGCACGACGAATTGAGGACTGCTGTACCCGCCACAATAACCCAGCATTGTTCCTTATCACATCACAATGAAACGTGATTCTCCGTAGAAGTTCCTCCCTAGTATCGACCGGAGTGGAATACACCAAGGTTTTGAGGTGTCCCCACAGGTAAAAATCTAATGGCGTTAGGTCGGGAGATCTAGGAGGCCAGGCAATAGGTCCTCCTCTACCTATCCAACGGTTTGGATAGACGTTATTCAGGTGCTCCCGCACAGCAACGCTGAAATGAGGTGGTGCCCCATCATGCATAAAGTACATGTTTCGGCGGGTTTCAAGTGGTACGTGCTCGACTAAATCATTAAAAGCGTTCTGGAGGAACTCCAAATAAAGTATTCCATTCAATCGTGCCGGCAATACGAATGGTCCAATCAAAAAATTGCCAACGATTCCTGCCCAGACATTAATTGATTGGAACTGATGTTGGCGATGCGAAACAATAGTGGCATGAGGATTTTCATCAGCCCATACATGGGTGTTATGTAAATTCTTGATACCATTTTTGGTAAAACCTTCTTCATCCGTGAAGAGAATAGTGCTAATGAAGTTTACATTATTTCGTTGCTGATCCAATAGCCAGTTTGCAAAATGCATTCAACGGGGAAAATCTTCAGGAATCAGTTCATGCACTTTTTGCAAATGATATGGGTATAACAGTTGTTCTTGAAGAACTTCATGTACTATCGTTTTCGACGCATTAAACTGCGCTGATAATTTTCGAGTGCTCGTTGAAGGAGTATCATATACAGCATTTAAAATATTTTCCTCTAATTGCGGCGTACGTACTGTTCTTCCCTGACCAGTATTATTTCTTCTTTTTCCAAAATTTCCTAAAATTATGAAAGAAGTAAATAACATTACCTTATTATACCTTATTAAGAAGAATCGCCCACCATTCTCCCTTAGACGTTGGTCAACTCGTTGAAATGTCTTCTGATCTGGAAGAGTGCGATTAGGAAATCTGTCGTGATATAACCTTCTGGCTTCCAAAGCATTGGAAGATGCAAGACCATACATCAGATGCATATCTGCATACTCAATAAACGTGTATTCCATATTTCGAATTATTTCACAATTAATTTCACAACGAAATTCAAAAATCAAATATCAAAGTAATAAGGAATCAATGTATCAGTAATGTGAAAGTTGACAAGTTCTAAAATGAAGGATATTTATTTATTTCTAACCTAGCAACGTTTGCAAAGGTAACTCGAAAAAAAAGTATCTTTTATCGAAATACGCTAAATACATGATATAAATAAAATGACGTTTTTCCGAAAACGGTTATGATTAGCGACATGAATGAAGAGTACTTAATTTTTAGTCAATAGTTAGAGGTATGTAAAAAACGTTGTCCAGAGTTCTTATCATACAGGGCGTAAAAAAAATGGGCCCATGAGTGTCACAGCTAGTCCGTCCCTGGAGCTGTGAGTAATTCGCAACACTTTCTTGGATAGTAATTTGAAGAGTCTTACCTAGTATACATCATATTGAAAAAAAATTGAAATATACCTGTTGGTTCAAGAATTATGTGTCAAAAACTTAATTCCATGGGAGCTCTTTGGGAGCCCATATCTCCGAAGAGGAGGCCGATACAAAAGAAGTTTATATGAACTTATAGTATTCTTTTCACGTGTTTTCTTCATATCCGGGAGATTTCCCAGATGTTCCCGGACACCCTGTATACAAAATTCTGAAATTTTTTGAAATTTCAATATCGAAATATCTCATGAAATTCCTTCATATCTGGTACAAATACTCTTGAATTTCGAAGACAAATCTCCATGGCAAATTAGTCAGGGGTTCACAAACAAAATTGTTATGACTGTCGTGATTCTTCTTATGAATGTCAAACTGGAAGGAGTTTTGGAATCCGTCCCTCTGACCATAACATACCTTATCCATATATAGTCCTTGATTCACATACAATACTAAAAGTACATCATCCTTCGCGAATCTCATTATTGATTTCGGTCATTCTCCTAACAATAACTTCAATATGCACATTATACATAAGTACTCGGTTGAATCACAAGAAAGTTCCAGAGATCCAAATGAGCATATATAACTGAAATATCACTTGTCCCAATGACCAAACCAATTCTTAGAGGAACCATATTTTCCGCTCTTTGGGAATATCTTAATTCAATTTAATTCTTCCATTTGCTAATTCAAAGCCGATCCTGCGCTTTTGTTCTCCTGATACTCATTTGTCACTCTTCTGATTTCATTGTATAACCATTAGCTTCGAATTGTTCTTATTTTTCCTCTTCTTCGTCAATAAAAAGTTCCGATCGGTTTCCTTAATTCACGCATTTCTTCATCATCTTTGCAATTTTGTTCAATTCAATTGATATCAGACCCATTTTCCAACGATTCAGAGTGAATTAGACAAGGGGAGATCTCCCATGGTTCCATGTCATTCATCAACTGTCAGTATGTCACTGTTTACTGTTCCTCTGGTTTTAGCATTTCGATTTGGCTATGGTTATGGAGGAAACATAATTACGGGTTCAGAGGTTCGTTCCCTTTTTCCCATCAATTATCGAACGCTTTAGTGGAACCTGAGCTTGTCTACCGGCGACAGATTAGTAGTTCCTCAGCAGCCAACCCCTTTGAAGAACATCTTTCTCCAAAGACTCGTTCATTCAACGAACAGCGAGGCTCTGGAACACATTGCCAATGGAGGTGTTCCCCGAGGCATATAACCTTCAGACATTCGAGAAGAGCACCAATTCCTACCTTATTTTTCCTGTTTCTCACGATGTTCCCTGAACATTACAGGACATCCCTTTCCGTAGGAACTAGAACATAAAAAAAGTTGAAAAAAGTGCAGCAAGCTGAAAATGAAACATGGCTGCTCATACAAAGAACTATGTCCTTATGTTGGGTTGATGATTTTCAGTAGCGAGTTCTCAGGTTTGTTAGATAGTGGTGCCAGTGAAACTGTCCTAGGTCAGTAGGGTCGGAGTATTCTGAAGTATTGTCCATTGGAATCATCGTGTCCAGTGTACATGTGTACAGTCGTGAATAGGCAAACTTGTGTTGTCTTGGAAACCGTGAGATCACCAGTGCAGTTGTGTGACCAGGCCAAAATTCTTGAGGCTTTAGTAGACCCGTCTCTACCTCATAGTCTCATTCGGGGACTGAATTTTCGACTTACGATGGATATAGTTCCGGACCATTCTCCCGACGAGTGGAATTTCAGAGATGATTCCGATTCCTTTCCTGATTACGACATTTGTTGCCTATTGGCAGATACCTCTGGCCGAATATTCAAAACCTCTAACTGTTTTTGTTATTTCTGATCAAAAACCATTCTAATCTGGAATAATGTCGATTGGACTTCATGATGCTACGTTCCAAAGATTTGTCGACAAAGTCATTGGTGCAAAATGAGAACAATATATAAATTTATTTATTTGAATAATAATATCTTCTGATTCACAAGAACATCAAGAAATCCTGGAAGAAATGTTGTCTAGGCTGACGAAAGCTGGACTGACCCTTAATTTGAAAAAGTGCAATTTCTGTAAGTCGAAATTGAGCTACCTTGGGTATTTCGTGAACTCGTCCAGACTCCTTATTGAACCTGAGAAAGTCAACGCCATCTTGAAAATTTCCATCCAATGAAATGTCATGAAGTTTCGTCGCATCATCGGACTCACTGCATGGTACCTTATCGGTTCGTTACCGGATTCTTGACGGAGATATGTCCCTCATGTGACCTCACCAAG